TGAATGGGATACTCAGTAATTATAGCTTCTTTTTTTGCCGATTTATATAACGAAATGTGTTAGTAAATAATGAAATATGTTAATAATATTTAGGTTCATTACCGAGTAGTCATAGACAAATTGAATCAGAAATAATGCGCAGATTAATGAATGATAATCATATTAGAGAAATTAGTAGTTCAGTAAATATTTGAACAAAAGGTTTAGATTTGCTTGATAATCAAATTGTAGTTGGTTCGTTATTAGAAAATGACGAATATTCATCTGATGAAATAAAGTGATTTTGGTCTAATTCAAGAAACATTCGGGAATCGATCATTACTGGACGTGAACTATTTCCTAGAGAAATGTTAAGTCCTAAATTCAATGTGCTATTGTCCAAGATGATGCTTGATTTAATGGTTGAATACTACACAGCAATATATGAAACACACAATTTTAAGGCACCATTCGATGATAGACCTGAAGATTCAATCATACTTAGTCATGTTACAATAAATAAATTCAGTCAGTATAGAATTGGTTTAAAGGTGTTTGGCTCAGCAATGTCATCTCGTCATGTGAAAAGTTCATTATTTTAGCGAATTTTATAACATTAGATAATCAGATTGACTGTTATGCTGGTTAAGTCCAGTATTTTTTTAAGTATATAATCGATTTTGAGGATAGACCGGCAGAACATAATTTGGCATTTATTCAGTGGTATAAACCAGCGGAAATATATAAAGTTCGATATTATTTTAGTATCGATAATGATGAAAAAACTTGTAATATTGAATTATGGAAAAATGAATTTTTTTCTGATGGTCGTGACAGTATTATTCTGATACAACACATTCTTTGTCAATTTGTACCAGCAAAATATAAAATTTCTACTCATCCAAATGCTATTGAATATATAGCCATAAATCCGATAAATCATAAATTCCATATTTGTTAACTTTTATTTTGTAATATAAATTTTTCATAAACCGGACTGATATAATGCTGAATTAGATACAATGTAACAAACGACAATCAATTTGTTATAATTTTCATGTTATATAACTGAAATTTTGTCATATTGAATCATCTGAATATTTTCTGAAAGGTCTTAATTTTGAAAAATGCTAAATTATGTATGGTGCAACAAATGACAGTAGATTTGTTATAATTTTTGTACTGAATTTTAAACACAAGCTGAATTTTTGTCAAATAGTATGACCGAATCGGTTGAATGTTTACCGAAAGGTCATAATGCCGAAATAATGCTAAATTATGCACAATGTAACAAATGATTATTGATTTTTGTAACACAAGCTGAATTTTGTTAAATAGTATGACTGAATCGGCTGAATGTTTACCGAAAGGTCATAGTGCCGAAATAATGCTAAATTATGCACAATGTAACAAATGACTATTGAATTTTGTAACTTAAGCCGAATTTTTGCTGAATCACATGACCGAATCAGATGAATGTTAACTGAAAGGTATTAGTGCTGAAAGAAATGATTTTGACTAGTGTAACACTGCATTTATTATTGTAATTTCTATCAGTTATATGCAGATCAGCAATTAAGTATTATCTGAATGCTTGTTTCATATTCACATTGCTTTTTTTTAGGATTTCATTATATTAATATATCATCTTTTGCTAGTTCATTTATAAAAATTTGTGTTATTTCTTCTGAACATTTTAAATAATCTTTTGTTAAACATAATTTTAATTTTAAAGGTTTGGCTAAAACCCAAAATTTATTATAATAATTACAAGTTCTTTCATAATTACCAGAACTTATTTTTTTCACATTTAATATATTTTCAAATTTCTGTAAATTTCATCCTCCTTTTTTTTGTTTTTTATAATTTATTAGTTTTATTAGATGATCCAGTATAATAACTTGAAATTATATCATCTATATTATTAAAATTTTGAAATAATAAAGTTTCTTCACTTATTTTTTTTTTAAGTTAAAAATAAAGAAATGGGAGAATATTTTTAAAAAATTAAAATAAAATAAATGATTAAAAATAAATATATAACTAGTTGTGAACTAGAAATAATTATAATTGAATTATTATTGTAACAATAATTAAGTTGCAACTATTATAAATAATATAATCATATTACAATAAGTTGTAATTAACTAAAACTTATATAAATAGTTGCAACTTATGTAATTTAATTAAAGTTACCATTTTTAGTCAGAAGTCTCACAAATTCTACAGTATTTTTTTGATGGTTTCATTTAATAGAGAACTTTTCCTTTGAATTTTTGTGTTTGATAGCAGTAGAATCTAAGTCATCTGTATTAGTAAAGTTAATAAAAGCATAAAGATATAGATAATAATATTGATTATGTAGTATAAAATATGATTTAGCTTTAATATAAATTAGAAAATCAAGTAATTAATATTAATCTATATTAAAGGACAGGGCTATTAGTTTTAATTCAAATTATTGTCTTAGCATTGTTTGAATGAGATCAATATAGGTTAGTTCTACTCTTAGGAAATTTTCTAAAAAGGATACTAACCACATGTAATCATAGAATTGTATAATAGATTCAGGATTTTTGAATATAATAAAAGTAATTTATTAGAGTTCTCTGATAATCATGAAGAATCTAAAGATTCTTTTATATTTGACAAAGTAATTTCATATAATATCAGATTTGGTAAATAGAAGGATATCTGAAACTTTGATAGTCTTGCCTTTTTTAACATCTTGCCTTTGTTGTTTTATTGCAGGATTAACAATAGTAAAAATAAAATTATGTTGTGTTTCTTATGACTTTATGAGGGTATTTTTAGAGAGTCTATAAATTTATAGTAGATAAAGAAATTTCTTAGTTTAGAAATGAAAGTGAAGCCTTAATAGCTATTAAAGTATATAAACAAGAATTTGATGAATATGTATTTTTCAGCAATAAAATTCCTTTATATCTGACTCATCAGTTATATAAAAATGCATTAGTGTAGTAATGATATTGAAAGTAGTTTCATTATTGTCTTATTCACGTGATTTATCATTGTCTTCTATTTCGTCAGTTCAAGTTTCCTTTTATTTGCCTTTATTATTTATAGAATACATTGTTATTATAAACATACATAGTGAGTTGTTTGAATAATAAAGGTTAGAATAATATTTTTGTTTGAAGTGTAAAAGGTTAGATTAATATTTATAGTTTTTGGACTTTTAGATTCAAGAGTTGAATTGATAGTAGTTATAATATTATCATTATTGATAATAATGTTATTGATAATTTGTTTGAGAGGAGTTTCTTAGTTTTGAAAAGGAATATTAAAAGAAAGTTTTTGTTTTTTTAAGATAGTAGTTTGGTTTGTATTTTCATTTTAGTTACTTGAAGAGCTAGAAGTATTACTATAGTTAGTGTTATTATTGTTTCTTTTATTGTATGAAATATTTTAAGAACTTTTTCATGTGTTATTTATTTAGTTATTAGCATTTTTTAGTTATTTTTTGAAAAAAAAAGAAAGTGTTTTTTTGGTTTTTTCAATTTCGAATCATTCAATCTCGAGATATTTATAATTGAATTATCGGTTAAAATTATAATTCAATAAATTCTACTTAAAGAAATCTAATTTCAAAATCAATCATAAATATTTTGTGATTAGCTGATGTATATTAGCTTATTGAATTCGTCTTATTTTGAGAATTTGAATAGTAGCTTTTTCATAAGAAACAGAGTGATATGACTAAGATTGTACTTTTTATTTAGATTTTTTATATAATAATTATATGATATGATAAAGTGGATTTTGACCATTTCATAATATTGATTAACTTTAGTTTTATATTTAATTTATACTAAAAGATAATCAAAATTTTTAATAAATTTTTAAAATCTTACATAATTTATTATAAAATTAATTAATATAAAATTTTACATATAATTATACTATCATATTTTTTAAATATAAGTAATTATAATAATAAATCTCTTAATATAAGTATACCTTTATATAATCATACCATTTTATAATTCCCATTGCTCTTTTTTCAGCATAATCTTCTGACATATCCTGCTTAATCCTATTCTTATATGCTTATATATACCAGAAGGGTGATTATAAAAGAGGTCAAATTATTTTAATAAAATATTTTAAAATATCATTTTAGATTTAAAATTATCAATTTATATAAAACTATAAAAATTTGAATCCTTTTAAATAAATTTATAATTAGTAATATTTATTATAACAAACTGTGCTTTTTTTTATTTTTATTTTATTTTTTTTTGTACTTTTTTTATTAATATATTATATATTTTATTTAAATATATAATTTTCTATCTTTATGTAAAATATTTTAATCTAATTAAAAGAATAAAGAAAAGAAAAGCCAAAGGAAATAAAAAAAAAAAAAAAATAATGAAAGACCAAGTAAATTATTGAATGTTAGGTAAAAAAAAAAAAAAAAAAAGAAAAAAAAAGTGGAGAATGAATTAAAAAAAATTATTATTAATTTTTTTTTTTTAATGCGAATTTTGTTTGTTTATTTGAATATTAATAATATTAATGTATAATATTGTACGAAAAACTTTGATGATATAAAGGAAAAATCGAATGATATATATGAAATTACGAAAAATGAGAATTTACTACGGTATAAAGGTAATGTATATATATAACAAGAGAGCACAAAGAGAATAAACCAGTTAAATCTTCGTGTTGAGTGGGAAAAAAATTATGCAATTGCATAAAAAGGAAAAAAAGAGAAATTCTATAGGCTCTATTGTTATTAAAAATATCAAATAAAAGAATAATATAATAATAATAAAAAATAAAGTTTAAAAAAATTTGCAAAAATTTAATTACATGGAAAATTAATAATAAAAAATACATAGATTTAAACTTAAAATGTTGATATAACAATATTCGATAAAACTTAAAAGAAATTAATGAAAGGAAAATTATAACGTAAAAGAGTGGAAGGTGATAATAGAAACTCATTATTAATTGTTCATTCTACTTTAGAATAGATTCAAAAAAGCAAATTAAGAAACAGATATACGCCTTTCCAGAGATTCTAGTCGGGCTTTCAAACCACTCAAAATATCTTCATAATCTTTGGTTTGAGAATCCTCATATCCATTACTTGAAGAAACAGCAGACAATGGTGGACTAGAGTTGGTAAGTTGACTAACAGATAAATTATTATTTGCATCTTGATTATTATGACTAAGTCCTATATCACTACATGCTGTGCTAATGTCGCTTAGTCTTCTATCGGGATCTAATGGCGGACTTGGACCCATTCCTACAACAGCTGCGCTATTACGTATACGTTCTTCAACCTTTGAAAGGCGTTTTTCTAAAGTCATCAAATCATTGACAACTTCCCTTTGCATTTCACGAAAATGTCCACGAACTAAACTTTCAATCATACTTCCTGAAGCTTGAAGCGTTTGAAGAAGGGTAGTGGTTTTACGAATTTGATCTTCAAGTGTAGTTTTAAGTGATCGAGTGTCAGCTACTGTATCATAAAATGAATCAAAAAGACGAATAAAAGATTTTTTGGATGGTTGTTCTCCATTTGAATGTAATGCTGGGTTTGTAACAGGCATAGAAATACGAGATGGATGAGGACTGGGAAGAGGAGAAGAAATTCTACCGGATCGAACATCATCTATATTATTGGGAGAAATAAGTCCATTTATACTTGCACTTGTAGAAGCAGAATGTGTATTTAAAGATTGGCTTGTAGGAAGAAAAGCCGAATTTGCTGATAAAGGAAATCCAGAAACGCTCTGTCTATTTTGAGCTGATCTATTTAATGAAATTGGAGCTGTCATAGGTGATTGTACATGATATTTTAGACCAGCAGAATTTTGTCCGCGAACTTTATTAACGCAAGATGAGGCGGAAGATACCACGATTGAACCATCATTATAAGGTGGAGCAAAAACACTAAGATTTCTTGAATTACGATTACTTCTATTTGAAACGGAGTTTCGCTTTGACAATGCGTTAGAGGTTCTGTTAGAATCTAAAGCACCTTGTGATGTGTTTCTTGAAGATGTGTTTGTTGATCTTTGAGCTGTCGAATTATTATAACCAGCAACAGAATGTCTTCTGTCAACAAAATTTTTTTGTTGTTGTAATATTTGTTGTTGTGCCTGTTGTTGTCTTGCTTCAATTATAGCTTTCTGTTGTTGTTTTAATTTAAGAGAATTCTTAACCTGTTCCATAACTTCTGGATTATTAGTAACTTTTATATTATTAGATCCTATAGCTGATGCAACAACACGTCTCCTTTTATTTGTTCTAGTTTCTTCTTCAACTGCTACTTCACCAGAAAGTAATGGTGACGAAGGTGAATGTGGTGATTTAGGTGAATTATTTGGTGAAGAGTTGGAATGTTCGCTTTCAGAATATGGTTCTTGTTTAATCGGTGTTTCTCTAAAATTTCAAAATAAATAAAAATTATTAATATATTTGGTAAGATCATTAATTTAGTCAATATATCAATTCATACCGATCTGATCCTGAGGGCGAGACTGTGTGTTCGACCGGCGAGGCATACCTATAATTAGTATTATCATTTTTATCTAAAACTGCATCAAGGGACATGCGCTTCCTGCTGATCGGTGGTAGTTCAATATTTGCGAGAGGAAATGATGAATCTGCTGTAAAAAATTCGAACTCTGCTTCTACAGCAGATGCACGACTTATATCAACACTTTCTAATAATTTATCGGCCATTCCCGATATTATATCTGATCGACCATACTTGCAAAATTCGGCAAGCAAATGATTTCCTAACCTAGTTCCAGTTTCACTTATAGCACGAGCAGCTAAATATATATCACCAGAACGTTCATAGAAACAATATCCAGGTGTATCAAAATAAATTTGAGGAATCTTTCCTGAATTATATATGAATCCTATTTGTGATTCAAAAAATATAACATCAATGTCCCTTAAACGATAAAATAGTTGATATACAGTAGTCCTTGAAGGTGACGGAGGGGTAGCCACCAAAGGAAATAAGTATAGACAAAATGGTTGTCGGTTGGCATATACACCGAGTTGAAGCTTTGTAACTTTCATGGTGTAAAACTGAAAAATTAAAGGAATGTAGAAAATTAGTTGGAAATTAAAAAAAAAGGAATAAAGGGAAAAAAAGAGGGGATAAAAATAGCGGAAAAAAAAAAGATATGAGTAAGTTTATCGGAATTTAAAGATAGAAAAAATAAAGGAGAGTATTTCAAAGTTAAAAGACTGTGATCCTGAAGCAGGCCACAAATGAGTTTAAAAAGCAAACCACAAATGAGGTTTGAAAAAGAGCAAATGAATGGAAGGTTATGGCACGTGCAAAACAAAGTCTTTGAACTTGAAAGAAGATGAAATAACCAGGAGTAATTTGTTTCAAAAACCAATAATTCGTTGATTAAAAACTGGTTCGAAATGTGTTTGTCCACAAAGTTTATTATTTAGCGTTACTCAAGGTTAATAACTTTACCCAATTGTGTATAGTGTTCCGGATATATGTGCAAAATCTTTCGATTAAAAACAAAAACTCCAAACAAATTAATCATTCAATATAATGATCTTTAGATAAGAAAATGATCATCATTAAATGTTCAGCATTTACATTGGTAAATCTTTCTTTGTATTCAATATATGTACTTGAAATTGAAATTCAAAAAGTTTCAACTTTATGAAACGAAAAGGTTTTAAAAAAATTTGTCGGAAAATGGTTTGTTCGTCGTGCAACTGATAAGAAAACTTTTCTGATTCCAGTAATCGATTTTTCATCGCAAAACAAAGTTGCTTTTATTGTGACGCAAATCTGAAACGGGTTCATTAAATGATTTAGAATAATTTATAATTGTAACCAACCATCGGATAATTATTGTTACATCAATTGAAAATAATCAAAGTTTGATCGTTACAGATGTATTCAATTTACGTTTCTTTATTCTTAGATTTCTTCTTTTTCTTCTTTCTCTTATCTCTTTCAGCCAGATATAATGATAAGAAATCATTTCCCAATTGATTATTTGTTATTGTTGATTTTAAGGATGACATGTTATCAACATTATCGCTACTATTTGATTTCTTTAAAACTATAGAAGTTTTACTATCTTCTTTTAAATCCTCTTCATCATTTTTATTTGTACGTTTCAAATTATCATTTTTGGGATCCTTATATTTTCGAAAATTCTTTTGTGTTAATTTACGTTTAAGTATCATCTCTGAAACTGCTTTATTCTTAATACCATTCATTCCAATCCTAAAAAAAATTTAAAATTCAATTTAAGTTTCGTGAATTGTAGTATTTAAAAAATTAAATTATTATTAGTTGAGATTATACCTAGAAGCATGGCGCTCTTGAATGGACTTGGTTAATTCTTTTTGTCGTATAAGTTCCTCTTTTTCTTCTTTTGCCTCTTCTTCGGGATTTGAAGGTGGTAACCAAGAATCTACTAAAGAAGAAACCAAGTCGAAAGAAACATCTAGTTTAGTTCGCAATACCTCTAATTCTTCAAGACGTCCTTGTGAAATAGACATGAAAGAACTCAAAATTTAAGTTTATCTTTTGACTGAAATTAATTTTATAAATATGTCATATAATTTACCATATATGGTATAGAACAAAATCGTATGTTGATATTATCCCTTAAATGGTAATGATTTTTATTCAAATTTAATCATGAAGAATTTTCAATCAATTCTATATAAAAACTTGCATTTTATTATTTTTAAATAAAATTTCATTTTAATAATTAAAATATTAAATCTTCAACTTTAAATTTATGATTTTTATATAAATAAATAATTTTTTTTTTTGATTTTACTTATAAAAAAATTATTGATTTGATAACTAATTTTTAATATACAGTATTTAAAATTAACTTTAAAGTGTAAGTAAAATTCCTTTTAAATTTAGAAGGAAAACATTAAAGGAATAAAGTGTAAAAATTTTATAAAATAAAAAAAATTATATAGATTATTGCAATTTTAAAAATCTTTAAATGAAAAATAAAATATTAGATAACCTAAATTTTATTACAGCTAATTTCATAATTTATGAACTATTAATAATTTTTCAGTCGAATTCAGTCGCAATATTTTATAGTAATTTTATTATAAAATATTTTCAGTTGCATTTAGTCACAATTTATTAATGGTTTACGAATTATGAAATTAGCTGTAAGTTTATCATAATAATTATAATTAAATATTTAATGAAAAAAATTTTTTTTTAATTCTTATATAGTTAGACTGAACTAAATTAATTATCTGTTTACATGTCTTTTCTCAATTTTCTCAAATAATTAAAAAATATATATAATCACATAATAAAAATCTAATCAAAAAATACTTAATATCATATAAAGATGTGAATACTAGATACTTTATATTCATTTTTATATTACATCTATTGTTAAACTTTAAATTTCTTTAATTCAAATAAAAATGCAGATTATGCTTTTTAATACATATTTGCAGTTTTATTTTACATGATATGACATTTATTTATTTTCATAATTTTCAATTAATATTAGTTGATTACCTATAATTGACAGGAAAAATAATGAAATTTGCTAAATAAATTATTTAAATTGAATCCTAATTTTAAATTTCTTTTATAATTTTACTTTAAATATTCATATTGTATTTTTTGAATTATTGTCTGAATTATTACAAAATCAAATATCTTTTTAAAATAGTTTAGCAATATATTCTAAAATATTATATAAGAAATAAAAGCTAAAAATTTCTAACTACATAATTTAATATAAAATGACATAATTAAATCTCTTTTTATGTATTTGTAACTTTTGTAATAGTTGAAATCAATATATCTAATAATAGTTCAAAAGTTATATATAAATTCTTATAATCTTATAATATGAAAGCTATTGAATATCAAAAATTTAACAAATTTTGATTTCTGATTTAATTAAAATTTTTGATAACTATATAATATATTTATTTTTTACTTGATTTGCTAAAAACTTATAACATTTTTTCATTATTTATTCAGCTTTTTTACAAAAATCAACTTTACTATAAGTATTTTCAAATGCTAATAATAACATATATATAATACAATAAGTAACAAAAAAATGTGAATTATTCTTTACAATTCTAGTAGCAATTTCCTATTATTATACTTATATCATTTGATACAAATGATATAATTTTATTGGTTAAATCTGAGATTTTATATAAATATTTATATTAGTATATATAAGTTATGCTATTAAAAAGGAATTTGCAATAAAAAATATGATTTTTGATTTATATTATTCCTTAAATCATAGGATTTTGCAGGCAAATTTACCTGTTTATTTACTATAAATTCTCTTTTGATTTACTTTTATAAATAATTAATATTTTGTAATTTTTAAAAAAAAATTATATTAAATATTTCATGATTAATATTACTTATAAAGAAAAACTTTTATTATTATAATTTTTATAATTTATTAAGAAATTTTATGATTTTAATTAATGATAAATGATTCAATTAGTATGTAAATATATAAATTTTTAAAGAATTTTTAAAAAAATTATTATAATAAATATTTAAAACTTAATTTTAAAAATATATTATTTTAATTAATAACCTTTTAAAAAAAACTTAAAATCTTTATTAATAAAGTTAATATCGAAAATAATGTTAAATTATGTATAATGCAAAATTATAAGTAATATAACAAATTACTATTGACTTTGTAACTTAAACCAAATTTTTTCTAAATCACATGAATGTTTATCAAAAGGTCTAATACTAAAATAATGTTAAATTATGTGTGATGTAATAAATAATTATCGATTTTTGTAACTTAAGCTGAATTTTTGTCAAATAATATGACCAAATCAGCTAAAGGTTTACTGAAAGATATTAGTGTCAAAAAAAATAATTTTGACTAGTGATACTTAGACTAGTTTGCAATGAGTTATACTAATTGCTTAAATCAAGTTTTATTATTTTATATTAAAGCGTTTACAAGAAAATCATATAGATATACAGATGCATATTAAAAAGGATTAAATGTAAACAGAATATGTAATTAAGTATTATAAAAGACATAGAGTAATACTTAATGCAATATTACATAATATTTTAGTATCTTAAAATAATTTTTTGAAAATATTTGTCATAAAAAATAAAGTGTAATTAGTATTATATATTGAATATAGTAAATTTAAGTTATATTTTAATATTGATCTAAATTATGTTTAATTTTATAATTCAAGTTGAGATCACATGAAAATTTGTGATACAATATGCTGCATCTAAAAACTAGAAGTAAATGTAGTAATTATGAAAAGATATTAAATCATAGTTAGGGAATTAGTTATTCTTATATAATCATGATGTAGTAACTATGCAATGAAATATGTAGTAATAATTATGTAATGATTAGATAGTTAAAGACAATTCTTATGTAATAATTATCTAATATATCTGTAATTTTAGATCAATTCAAAATGTATAAATAGGACAAGTTGGAATTATTAAAAAGGGGCAATAAAAAGAAGTAATTAATTTAGGAGAAATGTACGAAGAATTAGTATTGATGATTGTACAATCACTTATAATATTATAATATTTAATAAAACACTTTCTTTATGTTTAACAAAATTATTCTTTTATTTATTTCTCATAATGTTTGTGTAATCCACTTATATGTTACCTCTATCACATTTCATTAAGTCTTCATACTTAAATGAATCACCATATGATTCAGCTTAAAAAGGTCATGATAAATTTATAATCTTTGATGATGGGTGGCAGCAGCAATCAAGGATATTTCATCAAATTAACTGAGAATTTGTAACATAACGAACTCAACCTCTTACCTAAAATAAAATGTCTTATTTTTCAAGTAATAATAGACTTGTAAGTTTACGTAATATTATATCCTATTAAATTTACTGATGTATAAGAGAAATGATAAATAAATTTTTTTATGTAAAAAACTACTATTATGATTAGGAATATTAATCTATCCCAAATAATTGTAAATAAATTTAAAATTTCAAGTTATAGAAAAATCTAATTATTTAACTATAATAAATAACTTTAATAAAAATTGTTATAATAAATTTTAAAAAACTAATATTTATCTTAGATTAAAGTTTGTATGATAATAAATCTTTTTTTTTTGACAATTTTTAAAAATAGAATCAAATTTAATATATCATGCATTTAATTTTGAATATAAGAAATTATCATAAAATATTATTATTATAATATATTTAATATGTTTATTTATAATCCATTGATATATATACTAATAAAAATTACTAACAAAAATAAAATTATTTTTACAATTATTTTAATTGATCTTTGTTTTCAAATATTAATTTAACATAGTAAATCTAAAGTATTTCCTTATTATTCTTGATCTTTATCTCTTTTTAATAATCTTGTCTTATCATTTTTTACTTAATGTAATTATTTACAAGTGCTAATTTTTACTCTCTTATTTGTTTTTTTAACTCCTTCTTCATTTATAAAATAATTCATTTTTCTATCATACTTATCAACATATTAATCTTTTATTCTCAATTTAACTTATGCAATAATCTTGAATAGGTCTTTAGTCAGTTTAGATACTTTTAGAATAAGAATAGGTTTAATTTGAATACAAATTATATTATTTACTCTAATGATTTTTTATGTGACTGTATTTCTATCTTTATTAGTTACTAAATTGCAACTGTTTTTATAACTATTATAGTAGTTCATATATAATGTTATATACAGATTCTTATATAGTAATCATATAATTCAATACATATAAATTGCTATTATTATAATTTTTTTCTTAAAAACCTTTTTTAAAAATCAAAAACATCTATATTTAGCATTTTTTTTCAAATTATTGTATTGAATTACTTTTACTAATAGTGATTATGATTAAAGTATAAATCCACTCTAAAGATAATTTAATGATAAAATTGACTTTCTAACAAAAAATGTATTAGACTCATCAGCTTTATTTTTAAATATTAGTGATTTAATTCATACTAAGTTATATTTTAATTAACTAACTATTTTATCTCCTATTTGATTTTTTATTAAAGAAATTATATGATCAGAAACTTTGGTTTCTTTCTTAAATCTCAATAATATTATTTTGCTAATACTGATAATATTGCTTACTTGATTATATTTTATAAAATATTAGCATTCAAAAAAAAAAAATTTTTAAAGACTTTTAGAAATAGTAGGGTAAAAATGGGGTTTCTGGGACAGATTTCAAAATAGTATTCAGAAAAGATTCCTGACCGCCCACGAATCCATTTTAGCT